AGAGCCAAGGACCTTCATAATATGAATAATGCTGCTTAAAATCACTCACTACGACAGTCGCAATACTTGACATACACATGATAGGTGACTACTTGATATTACTCTCATAGTATTTGCCTATAAAGTAATTGGTTAGAGAAAGTAATAAATAAATAAAATTGATTTATTTATTAAAAAAATCGAGTACCATGCTTTCTTGTGTTGATGCTATTGATAAAATGGATCGTATTGAGCTGAACCTACTTGACTCATTTGATATCCTAACTAATACTAACAACAAGGTTGGTCTTGAGATTTTTGGTGTCCCATGCGACATTTTAAAGTAGCGCACCTTTTATGTAATTAAAAAATATATTAATAAAAAAGTATATTTCAATAATATTATTTCTTTACAAAAATATGGCATTTAAATATTTCTTTATTCTTTTAAATATCGTGAATTAAAAAAGTACAAGTAAAGTTCAAAAGTGCCTTTCGAACTTTATCAAAATTCACATGTCATCAGCATAGAACCATCCAATCCAACTTCATGTAAATCCATACAAGCAAATCTTAAAATAAAAAATAGAAAATACCGTGTATAAATATTGAATGCAATAAATCATGTAAATATATTTCTTCACGCATTTCTAGAAGCGAACCAACCTAATTAAAATTTTCTAATCAATATGTTCTAGAAAATTTGGTCAATGGAAATAAACCTAACATATTCAATCTTCAATCGTTCTTTTAATATAGTTGATCATAGATAAGATTTTAATAAGTTCAATTGTGATGAACTTCTTTCGAACAATACAATAGTAGGGGATGACAAAAAAAAAATAAAAATCCATCCAACCCAATACTCGTAGGGTCTTGCCAAGGACGATGCGGGGATTATCCTCTTAATCGGTTATTCCAATCGAGGATGGGGTGGGGGATTTCGCTCCGAGGCAGGTGTAACACCCTGAATTCTATCAACTTGACGAGTTATGAAACATGAATTTATGAAAGTGTCTGAAATAAATAATTTTAATATAGCGAGATATTCAGAAAATTTGAATAACATTTAACAAAAGATAAATTAAATTTAATAAAATATGCGGAACGTTTTGGAATCATATATTTCATCAAACATTATTAAAAGTAGTTCTAACAAACAATAAAATTTAGAACTAATTTGAAAATTATAATGTACTCATAATTGAGTCAGAAAAATCATCAAATATTATTAAAAATTCTAGTGTTTCTAAAAATTAAAGTACTTTATGATGATGACCCATTGGTCAAATAGCATATACATCCACCGCCATCCAGTATGCTAATACTTCTTGAAATTTTTAAATATAGGGGGATAAGTATAACAAATTATACTCAATGAAATGCTTGCTACTCCACATTCAAATCAAACATGAAATTATTCATAAATTCTCTTGCTAATATAAAATGAGAATTATCACATCATGACAAACGATAATTCTAGTAAGAGCTGTAAAATAACATAAAGGCTAAATTGTGCCTTAAAATGTATCATGATTTCTCCTGAAAGAGTTCTGAACTGAAGTAATTAAATTCATATATAATAATGTATTTGGAAGATGTGAAAAAATAACTAATAGCACTAAACATTTCACCTAACGTAATGAATTATGTACAATATGCATTTGGAAAGCAAATTGTGAGATCTTATTTTTTTGAATTTCGTCTTAGTACTTGGCCATTTGTGAAATTGAAAGAAGGGCAAAAATATAGTAGAATACTAGAATGTTTTAGGTTTACTGTAATATAGAGAAGAATTTAGAGAGGGATAGAGAATGGACAAGTACGAAAATATATAGCGTAATGTCTTAAGGTTTGATGACATATATATAGTAGACCAAAATGTGGCGTAGTGTAAACACGTTAGAGTTAATCACACAAGTGGGGTTTTAAATTCAAAATTTCCGTTCATCCCAAAAATTAGTCCAAATTTGGAGATATCAAGATTGCCTAATTCCACATACGTGAGAAATGAATGAATTGCATGCATTATTCATATTTTATTCCAATATTAAAGTCAATTAAAGAAAACTTATCATTCAAATTTCACATGATTTGCGTTGACTGAAATTCTGTAAGCTATGATTACGTTTTTAATCAATTACCTCTAAATTAAATTTTATAATTATCAATACTGTTCCTAATGGCCGAAATAAATATGCTCAAGGTAATTCTATTAATTAATTAGAATTTCACTTATATTTCGATTCTTCCATTGATTCTATATTAATTTAAGTTATCCAAAATATTATTTTCTTAATCTTAATGTATAATTAATTACCGTCTATCAAAGGAGTCCAATATTGATATAGTAATATAGTCCGAATTAATAACTAATATTATTAACTAAGTAGTTTTCTTAATTGGCTATAACTCAAGTTTAACTTATCCAAATTAAATTTTTCTTGAGTCCATAATTCGCCATTTATTACGAGCTTCAAAATGAGCCCAATATTGATAGGGTAATTCTAGTCCCTTCAATAGTTAACTATTTGGCCCATTTAATAAAAGTATAAAATTTGATATTTATCTTCACTTCCGTCCCTCAACTAATAAGATATCCATATAGATCCAAATTGACTATAGAGACAGCCAATTAACTTGCATAAGGATTTAACCAACTATTGAATTCCTACTAAATGACAAATAAAATATATGCGAATTAACTAAAAATTCGGGATTCTACAGCAGATACGGGTAACAAGAACCCCGCTCCGCCCCCATTTAACATTAAAAAAAATAAAAAAATTCAATACTTTAAATGGAAGAATTCTAAGAAATTTCATTAACTCTAATAGAAGATGGCAACACAAATTATCTAATGAATATGATAAACAATAAAAACTCTTGCTTACCAAATATATTTAAATAATTTAACTTTTCAAAATGAATAAATTAATTAAAAATTTAATAATTATATTATTGTCTCATTTTAATGAATGAGGACAATAAAATGAATTATCAAAAATTTTAAAAAAATTAACGGGTACAAAATGAGGGAAGGGTACTTGGCCGGCCTTAAACAGGTGATGGGGAGGGTACGGGATGGAAGACTGGGGAGGTTGCTTTGACCCAAAACCGTCCTGTTGCCATCCCTGCACTAACAAAAAATGTCAATATATATATATATATTGACATTTTGAGCACTTGATATGCTAATCAGTTTTCGCCTTTATATTTAACTTAATTATATATCCACTTATATTATACTGAAAAGTAATTTATTCTAAACTTGGGCAAACAAGCCATGTGTGACATTATGATAACTAGCAGCATTTCTATTTGGCTTCTCATTTTTTTTTTCAAATTAAAATGGGTGGAATAATATTTTTTAGAATGATGAATGATTGAAAAAGAACGAAAAACTTTCGTTTTATGTGTAATATTATTTTACAAAAGATTGTATGATTAAAAATAGAAAAAAGAATAATAAAATTTAGGCCTCGTTTAATTTCCATTTTGGAAGAATGAGAATGAAAAATATAGCCGTTACAGACTCCACAGAAGAGATAAAAATTTAAATTTAATAGTTTGATGTAATGGATAACGATCATATTTTTTATTTTTATAAGAAAAGAATGAAAAATAAACGAGGACTTAATTTAATGTACTTTGTTTCGCTCGTTACGAAAATTATGGCTTTATTGACAAATTGAGGAGACAAAATTTAGAAAAAGCTGATTATAGCACGAAAAAAGAGAAGCAAAAAATCACTCCTAAGTCGTAGCTTGTGGCCTAAAGTCAGTTGCAGCAACGAGTAGCATTTTCCTTTTCAGTAATATGCCACCTCTTTATCACTAAGAAAGAAAGAATACATTTTGGGAAATGAGATCTACGGATCAGACAAGCACCATCCTAAAACATAATATTAATACGAATTTGAACAAGATTTACTTTAATTAAAAAAAAAAAAAGTGACCCCATGTTATGTGAAAATATTAATTTAAGGACTATCAAGTACTAATAGGTATCTTTAAAAATGAAATAATTAAGCCCCCGTTTGCCCCCTAATTAAATTAAATTTTATTTTTATTTTTCATATTTTCAACCACACAATTTTTCATAAAATAATATTATACATAAATCGAAAACTTCTCCTCTTTCAACCATCAATTCTCAAAAAAATACTATTCTACTCATTATAATTTGAAAAAATGTGAGCTAAACTGGGAGTTTCATATTTAACCATAAAACCAAACTAATCGATTTTGATTGTTCGCTTTGATTCCTTTAATTAGAGTTTCGAGTCTATTTTCAAGTTGGCTTGCACCCAACCCTGAGGTGCCGGTTTCGTATTTGACAAAAAATAAAAGAAAAAGATTCTAAAAGTTTTTTTCCTTGGAATTGATCAATTAACTTGACTCTAATTGACAATGGTCAGTATGAAATGCTTTTTAACTGATGTGAGATCGATTCAATTAAAATTGATCCATATCCACCGCTTAGTTTAGTCGTACCTTATTATTTGTGTGTATCAAATATATATGAGTTATCATAATGTGATAGGTCGTTTATATCAAATAATTTGTAACTAATATGCACATACAAAATGGTACCGTTATGAAGGTTCCAAAATTTCATCGCTCCAATCAACTAAATAAATCCCAACGGTGGTATTGAATCAGTCAAACCAAATTTACATCCAGCCAATAAAATTCCCTCAAATCTTGCGCATTCGACCCTTCTGAATCTGATTGGATTTATGTGGTCCCCACACCACTTTACTTTTCATCAAATCCTCCACGTGGAACCCATCAACTGACGGTGATCAACTCACATTATTTATATCAAGACCGCCCACACCGTTTGTCTTAAACACTCTTCCGGTTCGATTAAACCGGTCAAACAAGAAACAAAGCAGTCAACACCATTCCTTATCAGTTTCCAAATTCTAACCAATCAATATCCTCCACGTTTTCACCACCATTCTTGATCGTCCCTCCAAGAATCCAATGACACACTCCTTTTTCTATAAAACGGTTACTCCCCATTTCTTTACTTGTGTCTTGAGCAACTAAAAATGGCGCGAATTTCCGGACACTTCCCGGCATTTTCCGCTACCACCTTCCTCTTCCTTCTCCTCGTCGTAACTCATCTCCGGCAGTGCTCTGGCGGTGGCCATGACTACCACGACGCCCTCCGTAAAAGCATTCTCTTCTTCGAAGGCCAACGCTCGGGCAAGCTCCCTCCTGACCAACGAGTCAGGTGGCGCAGAGACTCAGCATTGCACGACGGAGCCACCGCCGGAGTATATTTTCGTTTTCAACCCCTTCAAGTTAAGTAAGACCTGCATTAGACACTGTTACACTAACCCAATTTTGTTTTTCTTTAACAGGTGGATTTAAGAGGAGGATACTATGATGCTGGTGACAACGTAAAATTTGGGTTCCCAATGGCATTCACAATCACAATGTTGTCATGGAGCATTATAGACTTTGGTCGGAACATGGGTGGGGAGTTGGGAAATGCTATAAAGGCAGTGAAATGGGGTACAAATTATTTATTAAAGGCCACAGCTAAGGATGGCCTTGTGTACGTACAAGTAGGTGATCCATTGTCGGATCATAACTGCTGGGAAAGGCCCGAAGATATGGACACGTCGAGGATGGCGTACAAGATAGATGCCAACCACCCCGGCTCAGACGTGGCGGGGGAGACCGCCGCTGCCTTGGCCGCGGCCTCGATTGTGTTCCGGTCACGTGACCCGGCCTACTCTAGGCTCCTTCTTAATCGTGCCGTTAAAGTAAGTAAGTTATGTTCATCATCGTGTCTTACTTTCCCTTCCAATTTAAGGTCATGAGTATTGAACAAGTAGCATGCATTCATGTTAATAGTATTTTCTTTAGAAAATTAATGTTGGTGTGTAAGAAGTAAGAACCCGTCTGCATTTTTTTGCTGATATTAAGGTAAGGTGGAGTACAAACATTAAAATGTCTCTTTGGGACCCTGGAAAATACAATAATTACTGTTGGCCTTGGCCCAAACAAAAAAAAAATAATAACTTTATTTGAAACTGTAATGAAAATCTTGAGTCGTGCCTAGCGAAGGCTAAGCGTGTTCTTATCGTCACGTCACGGGTTTTAATAGCTTTCCTAATTTTTACTCTGTTGGGCCCGATGTCATGGTACATATTTCAAGATTTTGACCGTTGTGTGTGAAATGGTTGAATTTTCTAGGTGTTCGAGTTTGCTGACAGGCACCGGGGTGCGTACAGTTCCAGCCTGCACTATGCTGTCTGCCCTTTTTACTGTGATGTCAATGGTTACCAGGTAACTATTATCTCCTTTTACAATTATATACAAAAAAGCTATTTGCAATTAAAAATTTCACTTTTTTTCCTGCTCTTGTTATTTGCTAGTGTTATACAGTCCACTAGACAAGATGTCAAGAACTGTACATTTTCTTAATGTTAGCAGCGGGATATATTGAAGAAGCTTGTTGTGTGCACAAACTGCACACTATATACAAACTGCGCACACAGAAGTCATACAAAATAGGCACAACAGGTGATGGATGGGGGGATCTTTTTGGCATTTTTTTTTTTATCACAACATGGGTTTCTCGCATGTGAGATTTTCGACAGAATTCTTTGGAACAGTTTTCTATACAAATGAAAATCTCTTATATTGAAAATGTCCTCTAGGAATATCCACTTTATTCAAGAAATGAAACAGAGTAATGACCATGCATTGCCATGGCCATCATCTTTGGTAGAATGCGCTAAATACTTAGATGAAAAAAATTTAAAAAAAACCTCAAAGAGGTTATGTTATTCGACTAAGCGATGATGCATGCCAAATATGCGACAATAGTTAACGAGTTGCATTATAATGTACGTTTTAGGATGAATTGCTTTGGGGCGCGGCATGGTTACACAAAGCATCAAGAAGGCGGGAATACAGAGAATACATAGTGAAAAACGAAGTGGTATTGAGAGCTGGCGACACTATTAATGAATTCGGTTGGGATAACAAACACGCCGGGATCAATGTGCTTCTTTCCAAGGTTTGTCTGTCTACTCTTCCCCTTTTCAGTTAATTAAATTATCCTAGAAAAGGATACATTTGCCACCAACTACCTTATAAATTCATTTTTAAAAGCACATTCTTCTGATAAAATATTTTTCACGTAAATCAAAATTTCCCTTCTTCAAAAAAAAATTTACTTTTTACAAAATCTATATTATAAAAATCTGTTATCAAACATGGCTAATTCTTTATCTAAAAATTCTAATGGCTCGACCTTTTTAATCATTTGGCAACCACCCTATGGTGATGGATAGATTCCATATCTCTTGCAGGCCTTCGACCAAATGTGGGCAATTTAGAGGCCCAAATTTACAATAGGGAAAAATGGAAACCATTACGAAATTATATTTATTTTTTTAACAGTGTTGACTATTTAAATGTACTCTTAGTGTTAGTTATCTTCTACAATTATATAAATCCTAGCACAGATAAATATGAACAAGAAATATATGTGTCATCTATATTATTCACACCTAATTGACATTGATACACCACTTTTCCTCTTAGACAAATTCGAGTGTTGGCAGATCTTTAATAGGCACTCTCAATGTCGCCTTAGACCAATGGGCGGAGGGACAGGAGGTGGGAAGTGAATGTCCCACAACATTTTCAATTTTTTGTTTAATTTTCTATAAAATTTTGAATTTGTAATTTGTGTATTAAAAAAAGTACATAAGCAGTTACTGAAAATGATATGGAGGAAAAAGATTAGATAAAAAAGTTGATTATGTTTTAAACTGGAAAATGCAGGATGAAATTGTCAAGATCGACTAGTTGTTCTGATTTGAGTCATTGGATCGGTTTCTAATTTTTTGTGATTGAGACTAATTGAGTTGTCTATCTGAAAATATTCATGCAAGTCAATAAATTAAGGAGCAATTTAAGGAGGATAAATTGTTGGAGTCCTCGTATAAAAAACCTATGCAAGCTTGTTTCGAGGATAAACCTGGAGAGATGTATTGTTCACGGGTGACATCTTTGAGTTAGAGGATAAACGTAACACCTACCTTAGATATGTCCTAATTGACAAATATTATTATTTTAGTCTTTTCTACTAAAGGTACAATGTTGTGTTGGAATTTATTGGTATTCAACTATTAATATATGTGAATTGAAGTAGATCTCTAATATGTGTCATGATTGTACGAGTCTTCAAGTGCAATTGATGCATGATAAAAAGTCATGGCCTCTTGATATGTGCAAAATAGACCACTAATTCATCTTTCAATGTGAAATGGTGCGATCCAATGATCTAAAAAAATTGTGTATAAAAGATGCAACTATTCTAAATAACATTGAAATCTATATATAAGACTCTCATAGTTTCTTTTGCAAAAAATTCTAAACAAACACGACATGTATTAAATCTATATATAAAACTCTCATAATTTCTTTTGCGAAAAATTCTAAACAAACAGGGTCTGTTGACAAGCTGAGGTGACAATGCCTCAGCTCCAGATTTGAATTGATCTTTGTGTAGTGCCTTTCTTGTTTTACTTTATTTTTTTTTTAACAAATTTCGGACTAAAATTGATTGATTTCATTATCTTCCCAAATTCTGTCAAAATAATTTTCAAATTATTTTTGAATTTAAGTGTTCGAAATTTTAACATTTGTTATTATCCAATCTAGAAAATTATTTTTGAGGTTGGTTCACCTGACAAAATTAATATTATGTTATATTAGACTGGTAGTTTTGAAAGAAATATTGTATTTTGGAAGACAGACTTCCGCTTGATCCTATTAGCACTACTGCAAGGGTGCAAAATCTTTTTAAAAATATTTCGTTTCATTTTATCTCTTTATAATTTCTTCTTTTCTAATTATTGTTAGTCATCGTTTTGATTGTTTTGCATGCTCGTATTCAATTTGTTATAACATGTTGCACTCTTAAATTATGAGAACAAATATAAAAGCCTAATAAAGTAGATCATCTTAAATATTAATATATGGATGTGTTTATGCAGATCAAATGTGCATAGCTGGAGTCGAGGGAAAAAATGATTATTTTCCTCTTTTACTTGTATTTTCAAAATTTTAGAACGCTCAAAACTTTTTTTTTTGAGCAAAAAATAATTTTTAGTTAACAATTGTCTCTTGTTAGAGGGATATGAATTAAATGAGTATATTTTTTTTTCAATATTCACAAGCTCGTGAACCAAATTGTAGGGTGTTGAGTATTACAATCTTACTCTTCAATGTCTAATTACTCTCAAGATTAAAACAAGTCACCTAGTGATGAAACAAATTTTTAACTAACCAAATGCTTCATATGCTAAATTAAATGTAACATATTCATGTTTATTGAATTTATTGTCTCCATGTAAAAGTTCACTTCTACAGATAAACCATTCACCCAATTTTATGAGATGGTCAAGAAAATGACCATAGAAAATGAACACCAAGACCTTATTCACTAGTCAGTAGTCACAAACTAATAATTTAGACTATGAAATATACTAGAGCCAAGGACCTTCATAATATGAATAATGCTGCTTAAAATCACTCACTACGACAGTCGCAATACTTGACATACACATGATAGGTGACTACTTGATATTACTCTCATAGTATTTGCCTATAAAGTAATTGGTTAGAGAAAGTAATAAATAAATAAAATTGATTTATTTATTAAAAAAATCGAGTACCATGCTTTCTTGTGTTGATGCTATTGATAAAATGGATCGTATTGAGCTGAACCTACTTGACTCATTTGATATCCTAACTAATACTAACAACAGGGTTGGTCTTGAGATTTTTGGTGTCCCGTGCGACATTTTAAAGTAGCGCACCTTTTATGTAATTAAAAAATATATTAATAAAAATGTATATTTCAATAATATTATTTCTTTACAAAAATATGGCATTTAAATATTTCTTTATTCTTTTAAATATCGTGAATAAAAAAAGTACAAGTAAAGTTTAAAAGTGTCTTTCGAACTTTATCGAAATTCACATGTCATCAGTATAGAACCATCCAATCCAACTTCATGTAAATCCATACAAGCAAATCTTAAAATCAAAAATAGAAAATACCGTGTATAAATATATATGTTCTAGCAAATTTGGTCAATGGATATAAAGCTAACATATTCAATCTTCAATCGTTCTTTTAATATAGTTGATCGCAAATAAGATTTTAATAACTTCAATCGTGACAAACTTCTTTCGAACAATACAATAGTAGGGGATGACAAAAAAAAAAAAAAAAAAACCACAACCCAATACTCGTAGGGTCTTGCCAAGGACGATGCGGGGATTATCCTCTTAATCGGTTATTCCAATCGAGGATGGGGTGGGGGATTTCGCTCCGGGGCAGGTGTAACACCCTGAATTCTATCAACTCGACGAGTTACGAAACATGAATTTATGAAAGTGTTTGAAATAAATCAACCCAATACTCGTTGGGTCTTGCCAAGGACGATGCGGGGATTACCCTCTTAATCGGTTATTCCAATCGAGGATGGGGTGGGGGATTTCGCTCCGGGGCAGGTGTAACACCCTGAATTCTATCAACTCGACGAGTTACGAAACATGAATTTATGAAAGTGTTTGAAATAAATAATTTTAATATAGCGAGATATTCAGAAAAAATTGAATAACATTTAACAAAAGATAAATTAAATTTAATAAAATATGCGGAACGTTTTGGAATCATATATTTCATCAAACATTATTAAAAGTAGTTCTAACAAACAATAAAATTTAGAACTAATTTTAAAATTATAATGTACTCATAATTGAGTCAGAAAAATCATCAAATATTATTAAAAATTCTAGTGTTTCTAAAAATTAAAATACTTTATGACGATGATCCATTGGTCAAATAGCATATATATCGACCGCGGTCCAGTATACTAATACTTACTTGAAATTTTTAAATAAAGGGGGATAACTATAACAAATTATATTTAATGAAATGCTTGCTACTGCACATTCAAATCAAACATGAAATTATGCATAAATTCTCTTACCAACATAAAATGAGAATTATCACACCATGACAAACGATAATTCTAGTAAGAGCTGCAAAATAACGTAAAGGCTAAATTGTGCCTTAAAATGTATCATGATTTCTCCCGAAGGAGCTCTGAACTGAAGTAATTAAATTCATATATAATAATGTATTTGAAAGATGTGAAAAAATAACTAATAGCACTAAGCATTTCACCTAACGTAATGAATCATGTACAATATGCATTTGGAAAGCAAATTGTGAGATCTTATTTTTTTGAATTTCGTCTTAGTACTAGGCCATTTGTGAAATTGAAAGAAGGGTAAAAATATAGTAGAATACTAGAATGTTTTAGGTTTACTGTAATATAGAGAAGGATTTAGAAAGAGATAGAGAATGGACAAGTACGAAAATATATTGTGTAATGTCTTAAGGTTTGATGGCATATATATAGTATGCCAAAATGTGGCGTAGTGTAAACACGTTAGAGTTAATCACACAAGTGGGGTTTTAAATTCAAAATTTCCGTTCAATCATCCCAAAAATTAGTCCAAATTTGGAGATATCATGATAGCCTAATTCCATACACACGTGAGAAATGAATGAATTGCATGCATTATTCATATTTTATTCCAATATTAAAGTCAATTAAAGAAAACTTCTCATTCAAATTTCACATGATTTGCATTGACTGAAATTCTGTAAGCTATGATTACATTTTTAATCAATTACCTCTAAATTAAATTTTATAATTATCAATACTGTTCCTAATGGCTGAAATAACTATGCTCAAGGTAATTCTATTAATTAATTAGAATTTCACCTATATCTCGATTCTTCCATTGATTCTATATTAATTTAACTTATCCAAAATATTATTTTCTTAATCTTAATGTATAATTAATTACCGTCTGTCAAAGGAGTCCAATATTGATATAGTAATATAGTCCGAATTAGTAACTAATATTATTAACTAAGTAGTTTTCTTAATTGGCTACAACTTGAGTTTAACTTATCCAAATTAAATTTTTCTTGAGTCCATAATTCGCCATTTATTACGAGTTTCAAAATGAGCCTAATATTGATAGGGTAATTCTAGCTCCTTCAATAGTTAACTATTTGGCCCATTTAATAAAAGTATAAAATTTCATATTTATCTTCACTTCGGCCCCTCAACTAATAAGATATCCATATAGATCCAAATCGACTATAGAGATAACCAATTAACTTGCACAAGGACTTAACCAAATATTGAATTCCTATTAAATGACAAATAAAATATATGCGAATTAACTAAAAATTTGGGATTCTACAGCAGGTACGGGTAACAAGAACCCTGCTCCGCCCCATTTAACATTTTTTTTTTTAAAAAAATTCAATATTTTAAATGGAAGAACTCTAAGAAATTTCATTAATTCTAATAGAAAATGACAACAAAAATTATCTAATGAATATGATAAACAATAAAAACTCTTGCTTACCAAATATATTTAAATAATTTAACTTTTCAAAATGAATAAATCAATTAAAAATTTAATAATTATATTATTATCTCATTTTAATGAATGAGGACAATAAAATGAATTATCAAAATTTTTTTAAAAATTAAACAGATACTAAACGAGGGAAGGGTATTTGGCCGGCCTTAAACAGGTAATGGGAAGGGTACGGGATGGAAGACTGGGGAGGTTGCTTTGACCCAAAACCGTACTGTTGCCATTCTTATACAAACGATTAACAAAAAGTTGGTTAGCTGGAAGAAAGTAGTGACCAATTCTGCTCTAATATATAATCAAGTTGAAATTTGACATTTTTTAAGTTTCTATATTTCTGTTATTTCGTATTTTAAAAAAGAATTAATCACAGTTTTTTCAGGGATGAGCCATTTTGAGCACTTGATATGCTAATCAGTTTTCGCCTTTATATTTAACTTAGTTATATATCCACTTATATTATACTGAAAAGTAATTTATTCTAAACTTGGGCAAACAAGCCATGTGTGACATTATGATAACTAGCAGAATTTCTATTTGGCTTCTCATTTTTTTTTTCAAATTAAAATGGGTGGAATAACATTTTTTAGAATGATGAATGATTGAAAAAGAACGAAAAACTTTCGTTTTATGTGTAATATTATTTTACAAAAGATTGTATGATTAAAAATAGAAAAAAGAATAATAAAATTTAGGCCTCGTTTAATTTCCATTTTGGAAGAATGAGAATGAAAAATATAGTCGTTACAGACTCCACAGAAGAGATAAAAATTTAAATTTAATAATTTGATGTAATGGATAACGATCATATTTTTTATTTTTATAAGAAAAGAATGAAAAATAAACGAGGACTTAATTTAATGTACTTTGTTTCGCTCGTTACGAAAATTATGGCTTTATCGACAAATTAAGGAGACAAAATTTAGAAAAAGCTGATTATAGCACGAAAAAAGAGAAGCAAAAAATCACTCCTAAGTCGTAGCTTGTGGCCTAAAGTCAGTTGCAGCAACGAGTAGCATTTTCCTTTTCAGTAATATGCCACCTCTTTATCACTAAGAAAGAAAGAATACATTTTGGGAAATGAGATCTACGGATCAGACAAGCACCATCCTAAAACATAATATTAATACGAATTTGAACAAGATTTACTTTAATTAAAAAAAAAAAAAAGTGACCCCATGTTATGTGAAAATATTAATTTAAGGACTATCAAGTACTAATAGGTATCTTTAAAAATGAAATAATTAAGCCCCCGTTTGCCCCCTAATTAAATTAAATTTTATTTTTATTTTTCATATTTTCAACCACACTTTTTTTCATAAAATAATATTATACATAAATAATAACTTCTCCTCTTTCAACCATCAATTCTCAAAAAAATACTATTCTACTCATTATAATTTGAAAAAATGTGAGCTAAACTGGGAGTTTCATATTTAACCATAAAACCAAACTAATCGATTTTGATTGTTCGCTTTGATTCCTTTAATTAGAGTTTCGAGTCTATTTTCAAGTTGGCTTGCACCCAACCCTAAGGTGCCGGTTTCGTATTTGACAAAAAATAAAAGAAAAAGATTCTAAAAGTTTTTTTCCTTGGAATTGATCAATTAACTTGACTCTAATTGACAATGGTCAGTATGAAATGCTTTTTAACTGATGTGAGATCGATTCAATTAAAATTGATCCATATCCACCGCTTAGTTTAGTCGTACCTTATTATTTGTGTGTATCAAATATATATGAGTTATCATAATGTGATAGGTCGTTTATATCAAATAATTTGTAACTAATATGCACATACAAAATGGTACCGTTATGAAGGTTCCAAAATTTCATCGCTCCAATCAACTAAATAAATCCCAACGGTGGTATTGAATCAGTCAAACCAAATTTACATCCAGCCAATAAAATTCCCTCAAATCTTGCGCATTCGACCCTTCTGAATCTGATTGGATTTATGTGGTCCCCACACCACTTTACTTTTCATCAAATCCTCCACGTGGAACCCATCAACTGACGGTGATCAACTCACATTATTTATATCAAGACCGCCCACACCGTTTGTCTTAAACACTCTTCCGGTTCGATTAAACCGGTCAAACAAGAAAAAAAGCAGTCAACACCATTCCTTATCAGTTTCCAAATTCTAACCAATCAATATCCTCCACGTTTTCACCACCATTCTTGATCGTCCCTCCAAGAATCCAATGACACACTCCTTTTTCTATAAAACGGTTACTCCCCATTTCTTTACTTGTGTCTTGAGCAACTAAAAATGGCGCGAATTTCCGGACACTTCCCGGCATTTTCCGCTACCACCTTCCTCTTCCTTCTCCTCGTCGTAACTCATCTCCGGCAGTGCTCTGGTGGTGGCCATGACTACCACGACGCCCTCCGTAAAAGCATTCTCTTCTTCGAAGGCCAACGCTCGGGCAAGCTCCCTCCTGACCAACGAGTCAGGTGGCGCAGAGACTCAGCATTGCACGACGGAGCCACCGCCGGAGTATATTTTCGTTTTCAACCCCTTCAAGTTAAGTAAGACCTGCATTAGACACTGTTACACTAACCCAATTTTGTTTTTCTTTAACAGGTGGATTTAAGAGGAGGATACTATGATGCTGGTGACAACGTAAAATTTGGGTTCCCAATGGCATTCACAATCACAATGTTGTCATGGAGCATTATAGACTTTGGTCGGAACATGGGTGGGGAGTTGGGAAATGCTATAAAGGCAGTGAAATGGGGTACAAATTATTTATTAAAGGCCACAGCTAAGGATGGCCTTGTGTACGTACAAGTAGGTGATCCATTGTCGGATCATAACTGCTGGGAAAGGCCCGAAGATATGGACACGTCGAGGATGGCGTACAAGATAGATGCCAACCACCCCGGCTCAGACGTGGCGGGGGAGACCGCCGCTGCCTTGGCCGCGGCCTCGATTGTGTTCCGGTCACGTGACCCGGCCTACTCTAGGCTCCTTCTTAATCGTGCCGTTAAAGTAAGTAAGTTATGTTCATCATCGTGTCTTACTTTCCCTTCCAATTTAAGGTCATGAGTATTGAACAAGTAGCATGCATTCATGTTAATAGTATTTTCTTTAGAAAATTAATGTTGGTGTGTAAGAAGTAAGAACCCGTCTGCATTTTTTTGCTGATATTAAGGTAAGGTGGAGTACAAACATTAAAATGTCTCTTTGGGACCCTGGAAAATACAATAATTACTGTTGGCCTTGGCCCAAACAAAAAAAAAATAATAACTTTATTTGAAACTGTAATGAAAATCTTGAGTCGTGCCTAGCGAAGGCTAAGCGTGTTCTTATCGTCACGTCACGGGTTTTAATAGCTTTCCTAATTTTTACTCTGTTGGGCCCGATGTCATGGTACATATTTCAAGATTTTGACCGTTGTGTGTGAAATGGTTGAATTTTCTAGGTGTTCGAGTTTGCTGACAGGCACCGGGGTGCGTACAGTTCCAGCCTGCACTATGCTGTCTGCCCTTTTTACTGTGATGTCAATGGTTACCAGGTAA